ACCGACCTTCCAACAGTCACCGCCAAAACAATTTTCTTTACCACAGTAATTGTACTATCGCAGCGTTTGAACAGTATTTGTTATTACAAACTAGTTTGTAAAATAAGTGTTCATTCTGTCAGCACCTGTTTTTGTTATATATGTTGTCGTGCGCCATGTTAGACGGTCGCACACAACATTGCATGTCCACCTTTTTTTATAATAAACATAAAAAAATGTTATTAATTATACTACATCACAGTTGTTATGTACTTATATTAATTGTTACTAATAAACTTATATCGTTTAATACACGATATTATTGTATTAACAATTACAAATTTCGATTTCAATAGCTACAATCTCTGTTCAGAACTTACAATAGTATGTTGAACGCATGCATGAAGATAATAGCATAGATATAGGATTGTATGTTTTATAGTGCGAAGTACTATATTTTAACGTATTTATTAATAATTAAATCTATTTTGAATAGTGATCCATGTGAACACAAGAATTTTCTTCAAATATCATCAGAAGGTAAGATAAGATTTATGCGTGAATCTAAAAGGTATACTTTTTAGAAGAAGGTTATGTTTTGCACGCTTGTCAGACTGATGAAGAAGATATGCTAGATTACTTTTGGCACGCTATAGTCAACTTTTCCATTATGATCTAAGAATATTTACAATAGAAAACGTAAGCATTGTCGTAATTAATTAAGAGCTTAATACATAACTAAATATATTTCGTAAACAATATGTCATCCTTTTTAATATTTTTTGTTATGTTATGTATATTCATGTTACGTTATATTTTCTAGTTCGCTATAATTTGTATATAAATGAAGAATGAATATCGCAATTAGATGTCATCTCGGGCTCATTTTATTAGGTTACAAACTTATTGGGAGATAAATTTTTTATACTATAATGTCCAATAGCAGAAGGTCGTGTTTGAAGGTTTGGCATTTACTTATTTGACGTTATATCATTTATTATAAAGAAAAACACAATTATATAATTCATTTAATCATTAATATAACCGATGGTTGATTTGATTGAATAGAAATAACATAAAAAAACGAAGTGTATAACGAAGCGACTACATTCACCGTTTTGATTGTGAAAGCAACGCGTAAAGAAGAAAGCGTAGTCCCATACGAAATCGTTGTTTAGCGAGTTCTCAGACTACCAATGAATCTTTCTTGTACGTACAGCCAGAGAATCTTAATGCGGTCCTGTAAATTGACACACAATAAAGAACAGCATGAAACGTTAATGGCTTTCAATAGGATTAATTTACGGGTTGCATGGAACTAACTGGACATCGGGTCACACCGATTTTGTGGCTCGAGAATGCTGTTTCTGTAGAGTGCATCGTGCGAACCCGTAAAGACGTTAAACAAAGAATCTCTCGCGAACGCTCCCTTTACACGTTCGATATTCTTACACAAAAACGATCGTGTAGGATTTTTAATATTAAACGTTTCGAATAAATGAAATATTTGGAATGGTACCAGAGTCCGATGTCGCCATTGATCAGTGCGTGTCCGATCGTCTTCTGTGAAGTTTTAAAACGGTTTCGTTGACTTGTCTGACATTGTGCGCGATGGAAATGCAGATGCAGTCAAGACGAATTTTTTCGTGACTTAACTAACAAACATTTTTCGTGAGATCCTATTGGACAAACGAGAGTAACGCCACCATCGGTTTATGCCGAATGCCCAGCTACCATCCATTATCTACGTTTCACATTCTTTCGAGACTGAGAAACGCAGTAACTGATCACGAGACCGTTTCCAAATTGTAATCTTATCGTCCCTTAACGTCATAGACAAACGGGGGTTGTGTATTCGATGGAAAACTTAAAAGTGTCATGCTGATTAATCGTCAGCATCGCGGGGAATGTTATTTTGCCCCGTGTACCACGTGTTCTCCTTGGTGCCATGGATGCAGTTATGATTCGACCTTTGCGGTGATCACATCGTTTGCCGAATGAAACCGAAACTGTTCGTTTGGTTCGCATAATCGTTCCTTTTTTCCGTGTTACATGCACGGTCCGATATTACATGCAACACTGAACGGATTTTCGTTGTTAGTTCTTCCTCCAAAAAGTGCGCCACAGTTCGTACTGTTCGCTTTAAATTTTCGCGGTTAAACGTAACGGAATTGGAACGTCGCCGAACATAAGGTACTCCTTTCTGTCTACCGTGATTGTTAATATTTGAATAATCGTTGTTTATAGAACGTAATTGTAAATCTTGCGTGCGACGATATTCGACGACAGTTCACTGATCTCGCAATGGAATTTTGAATGAATGACTGAGGATAAGTGGTGTTGCCGGTTACGTATTCCAAATGTCAGTGTCAATTTACTTGTTGGTCCATGACTACATATTTATTTTAACGTCTTGCTGTATTTGCATACGAATTGAATTTTGTATAGAATAAATCAGGTATCGAATTCAGTCTTGCGAAATATTAATTAGTGCGTTGAATGATAACTTTTTTTCGGAACATTTTTTAGAAGGATGGAGTGGAAGAAATGGAAAATCTATCGGCGGAAGAATGAATGTCGTAAATCACTGTGTTTTCGCACGATATACTTCGACAGAGGTCGCACGTTAGGAAATAATAAGGTCGAATTGCATATTTGAAAAATATGCTTCTTTCACGGTCGCTGTAACGAATTCGTAACAAAAAGTGGAGGTGTGAATAGTTTTCAGATACATATTCAGAGTTTTGCTTTTGAACTTGAAAGGGATTCACATATAAATTCTGTTGCTTTTTAGGACCTTGATATAAAACGATTCTCTGATTACCAGAGTATTATTGCAAACCAGAAAATCTATGCAAACTTGTACAACCATTCTTCTCAATTTATCGCAGGACAACATAGGAATGCGATGACTATATTTCGAGATGAACTCAAGGTATCATTATTCCGACGTGTAAAAGCTATGTCGAACTCCGTTAACATTATGCTACACTATGATTCAGTGCCATTATCGACTTCCACGAAATTACGACCGTCAAGATCATTCTTAAGGCGTATCCTGTTTGGAGAGCGAAACAAAAACGGTACCATTCGACCCGTTAGAATGAGATCGTTTCGCAAATACAGAGGAACAATCTAACACGTATTGCTGAAGTAATCCGTATACGCATTATGAGTTATGGATAACATTTAACAACTTTTAAACAAACGTTCTTGGGATTAAAACAACGAGTAAATCCTTTTTCCATCGAGAATTTTGGCTATTATCGTAAAGATTGACTTAGGAAATATTTAGGAATGCGTGTCAGGTGGTTCACCCTGTATATACTCACACCACCGGACGTTCTTACACCAACACGGTCTCTGCATACGAGTTAACATGGTCATCAGTGTATTACCCACCCGGGAGTATTACATGCTACCGATCATCACGCTGGTTCACCTCTATCGTAGGCACTTCTTGTACGAGTTAACATGTCCAGCCCTTTCGCGACTTGCCTGTAACTTTAAAACAAAACCAGGTTTAATGCTTTTCCGAAATCGTAACAGTTTTAATATGAACAATTTGTCGGAGAATTTCTGGAGCCACCGTAGATTTTCTCACACGATTGTCCGAGTTGCCAATGTTCAGCCTGCGATCGAGCGTTCGAACCAGCGATCGACGAGCGTTTCCAACTAATTGTTAGCCCTGTTCGATTGCGAACCGTTCCTCGGCCGTTGACGGCACAAAAGGGTTCCGGATGCTTGAGTTCAGGGGCCGGTTGCGACTGCGATGCAACGATGCTACCCGTGCGCGACACGCTAAAACGAGTCAGTGAACTGTCCTCTGCGAATATTGTTGCCGGATATTTAACGCATCGCGGTAGAAAGTCGGCGATTGTCCCGACCGGCGCGGCGGCATTTCGTGTTTCACGGTGTTGTTGTTTCACAAAGGTTCCCCACACGACGAAAGTCGTCGATTGCGAGTGCAAGCGCGCGCGCGCGCCCTCGCGCGCCATCCGTTACGTCCGACGATAACGTGCTCTCTCGGGGATCTATGGATCATGTCCAGGTGGTTTCCTCACGAGGAGCGACGGCCGCGAAGATCAAAGTTTACGCGATTGTCACCGTCCGTGATCGGGCTGACTCGAGATAAACGGCGGCCGATTTCGATCGAAATCATCATGTTCCCGAGCAGTTGAGCTCGCGACTCTGTTTTACGGACTAAACGAGCATAATCGCTCGCTCTGCCGGCGCCGGCCCGCCTTGAAGCCAGCCAGTTACGCATTTTCGAATTCATTTGCTTTTTTTCTACACGGCGAGCGGTGCTTTGTGCGATCAACACGATACAACACGATGGACGGCCTCGTCGAAATTTTCCTGTTCTTCGGGATCCTCTTCTACTTTTTCAACTTCAGGTAACCATAATCGTAGTACAACGCGCTCTAGCCATCTGAAACGGCTCGCCGACGAAGCGTTAAGGACCGCCTGTCTCTGCCGCGAATCTTTTTATTTTCTTTCCACGGGGAATTTCGGCCGAGGGAGAGTCGTGTCTCAGCTGATTGCAACGCGATGGAGCGATCGTCACGGGTCATTACACACGCGAGATTTAGTATAACGACGCACGATATCCCCACTTGCGGTTGCGCTTCTCCTCGAAACAGATGTGTGCCAACAATGTTGCACAACTCTTTGTACCACTAATCGCAATTTGCATGCGCTCGATTAAGGAGTTAACCTTCTTGCTTCGCACGGTCTAGCCTGCACCCTAAAATAACCGATGCCATTCAAATCTTATTTGTAACACTTATAATCGAGTTGTCGGTCGCTCGGAACGTATTGCGGAGTCTGCTGGACATCTCGATTAACTTAGATTAATCTCAGATTTATAATACGGGGATTTCAATTTCGAGGCCTGAAAATTGCTGAAAAGCCTGCGACTTTTGTTTATGCGTCCAATATGATTGCGTTCTTTTTACGCAGTGCAAAATACATTAGAAGAAAACTCTGATTTACTTAATTCGAGCATTTCATTTATACCGTGGTTAAGGGGATGTAGAATATCTTAATCAGGTAATTTCACGAAAAATCTACATTTCTATTTAGAATCAGAGTTTGTTTTGAAGCAATACGTGGTAAAAGGACTTTCGTCGATTTCGACTAGTATTTGCATGAAATCGTAGCTTCGGCCGTTTGCGCTTTCTCCGCTGCAAAGAGGTGGTAAAATTCTAATCGTGTCTAAGGCATTAATTTTACGCTTGTGGATCGGGTCGCGAACACTCTTGTTTTACCATAATCGGGAAATTATGCAAATCCTTGTGGAATCTGTTAAATCATTAGTCTGAATTCTAGCTTTTCTTTTGACGAATTTTCCTCGCGCGAATCGTTCGCATTTGCGCTAATTGCGTACAGCGCTTACCCGTGTTCTGCTGCACCAGCTGCATCAGATTCGCATCCCCTAATCTTACAATGCTTTCACAAGAGTCCTACACGAGTTTCTGTTTCTCGATAACCCGGACCCCGACCCGGACGATCATGCGTTCTATGTTAAAACAAAAAGAACTTCAGCAATATCGTAAGATGCTCTATTTTCATCGAAGTTCTCCATTTTCTTTCATCCTCGTCTCGATGCTTTTAACCTCTGTTCAACCCGATATCAGTCGACTACAAAATAAAATTGTGACACGCTGATCCGATCGGACCATCGCCAGCTGCGTTCGTTATTAAACGATTATGTTGTCCGTCGAACTTCTACTTTTCTTCGTCGTGTTGCATCTTATTTTTACAAGCGCGGCGCATTCTTTGAATGTATCTAACGCTGTGAAAATAAATATCGTCATAGATTGGAAATATGTAGAGTGAAATTGCCTAACGAAAGGCTCTAGAAGCCTTTGGGGATCACTTGTTTCGTCCGGACATAGAAATCAATTAACACATCGATACGTAAAGTCACAATCCATAACTTTCGTTCGACAAATTGCTTGATTATTTTTCAAACCGGATACGTACTCTGTTTTCAGTGAACATATTAATATTCATTGTGTTCATGTTAGTACGTTCCAATTTTTAATGTTTTAGCAGTGAAAACAGGCAGCCAAAAAAGTGGTGGCAGCGAACAGGTTTAAGCACATTCGACGAGACGCTTCGTTGAAAGCGTTGCAGCCTCCACGGAGCTTCGGTGTTAACGAAAGGTGTCGTTTGTCTGTAGCGTTAGGATTTTCTTAAGAAGCGAGTAAACTTGGTCCTGATAATCTCAATACGTCGGAATGCGAAGTAATTGTTGGCCAGTGTCGTCAGGCGAGCATGGCAAAAGTGGGTCCAGTTTGCTAAGGACCCGTGTCCACGGTTATTAATCATGATTATCGTCTAACTCCCACTCGAGGTGAGACGGTCACTGCTCACGATCGTTTGTAATCGTTTGATGGCTTCGAAGTAGCAGCAGTCTGGCACGCGATACTCTTATCGGTTTGGACTTTGCCGATTAATCATTGCTACCTTCGAGCGCGTGCTGCTTTCGACAATTGTACAAAATTCTGACTTCGAAAGAGATTAAGGTACCTCGATCGTAAACTGTGAAAGACACCAGCATCGATCAACATGATCGTCGAACAGATCCGTTTCCGGTCCGGTACAACGTCCGTGATCGTTTCGCGACGACATGGTCCGACCTGTTTGCCGATCTCCATCGAACGATACCGTTTTTTGTTTTTGTTTTCGGACAAATGCTTCGCGTTTACATGCTTCTTCCAATCGGACAGGCCGCTCACACTTAATACTCGTTTATGTAACCGATACTCGATACGTTCGCGTGTACATAGATCGGCTGCAGATCGTATGGCACCGGGTGTCCCTTTTCTTACCAGCTATCTGCATAATCGCGTCGCAAAACCTGCCGCTTCGCGATACATATTTCATGACTTTATCGAACGCTCGATTCAACACAACATTGGTCGAGGCCGTGCTTGAAAGCACTCGTCACGACGAACACGAATGATGATAGTACAAAAAGCGACACGTCCCACGTTACAACACGATGGATCCGTGATTTACGATCATTCGCTTTTCTTCCTATTTCTCACAAAGTGACGGAGTTTCGCGACGGATGTAACCCAATACTGAAATCGTCGCATCAGAAAAACTAATTCACGTGTTCATTGTCTTGTCGTCGCGGTCTCCTTTTGACCTGTAAAAATGCATAACTCGTTAAATAGAAATTATATATTCCTAAATGATCGAATGTAGAGAAACAGTCTCGAGTGGTTGGTTCCTTATCGTCGGCTTCAGATAAGGTATACAGACTTTGTGTCAGCGACTTGCGCGACCTACAGCAACGGACACTGAATTCTACCTTGAAAAACAGATTTGATTTGCAAAGGCTCTCGCAAGGAGCCCCCAAATCGACCTTCCTCGACTCCTCGCGTTTCAACTTTGGATTTGATGCATTACATTTCAAGACGTCGAGCAGCATTGTTCCGCATGTACTTCCTTTTTTTTCATCCGTTTCATGGAACAATGCGAATTACTACGTCATCCTAAGAGTCGTGCGAGCCTAACGGAGGGTAACTTCTTGTAATTTTGTGCCCACGGCCGTGTGCGTACAATCCCGCTGGACGTCCTGTGGAACAGACCTTCGTGGGAGAGTCTCCGGTATACATATATTAGCATGATTAAGAAGTCATCTTGCTCGAGGATTTGCCGGGTGAAAGTTTAGATTTGATAATTGCCTTGCGCGATATCTCGCGGTAAACAAAAGGCACGGAGATTGATAGATGTACAGATATCGTATTTGTATAAAATGACAAACGGTATTGTTGACAAAGCTCTACCCGACGGTTTCACGCCCCAATTGGAGCGTTTAATATCCTGGCCGACCTTTGCTTTTCACGGCCAGATCGCTACCATCCATCCATATCTGATCTCCCTTCTTTTTGCAACGCGAATATACCCTATGAAATTTAACGTCTGTCGAAATGACGGATTTCGCGGATTCTTTATCTTGCTATTATCCAGATTGTGAAGATCTTGTTGTTTTTGAAAAGCGATAAAAACTGATCACGTTCAGTGGCTCGGTGAAACTGACTTCTATTTTCATATTTTGCTTTATGAAAACTGAAATAGAGGGAAGAATTTGGATGAACTCCAATGAACCCTGTGTCCGATGGACTTGATCTAGGGACCACGTAACTGATTTTCCTATCGTTGGAACTCCTGTTGCCTCCTGTTGTGCGTCCAACACGGGGGACAGGTTCAGGAAAAGAAAAGCCACATCCGCTCCGCTCAGAATTGCACTCGGCTGTATCGACTCGTTAAATGCGTTGGAGATCGAGCGTGAATGATGCTCGATTGGGCTCAGGGAGCATCACCCGTGAAATTCTCCTCGAATTATATCCGTGATTGTCTGTTAACACTAACCGTACCGGGGCCGGTTGGAAGATTGATTTAAAAATTATATGTTTGTTATTATATTTTTTGTTCATCTAACTTTATGCAAACTCTTATATTATCTGATTAATCAAATTTGTCGATTTTTCTTTTCTTTTTGGCTTCTTTTTTTTTACCGAGAAAAATTCATCACCTGGCTCGCTTGCCGCGATTTGTTCGACACTGATGAAATTGAAAGCGACGATTTGTCTGACACTGACGATGAAGAAGAAAACGTATTTAATGTCCGTAGGGAACAAAAGCGCCGAAAATTTGTATCAGATTCCGAAAGTGAAAGTTGACAATACTGTTACATATAAAAATAAAAATATAATAAATATATGATTGATTGTTTTATTGTTACATCAAAGTTATGTTTTGCACCATTTCTAACAATAAATTGACAATTCCTTTCATAAAAACAACGTCTATTTCGTAACCGGTCAAATGATCGGTTACGGTATGGTTAGGTGTATGTCAAGGTTGTGTCAAGTGCCAGTACGGTTAGTGTTAATATCATGACGTCGGTAATTATGAGTCTCCTGCATCCAGATCACTCGTTTCAATCATTCTGGGACAATCGAGCTGCGAAAACAGCTCGTAAAACCCTCGAAAGCCCTCGGATATCTGCTATTGTAATTTATTTAGGGCTCGTTTGAAATCTTCAAGTGAGACAAAATCATCGAAATTCATTGTACATTAATAACGAATAAATGTCCTATGTAATCGCAGAGCGAACACCATGGTGGACGTATTATCAACGCGTCTGCAGGAGGTCTACGCGAAATGGGAGAGTAGAACGGAAGTGAAAAGAAATTCGGAATCGAGCACCAATCGTTACTCGGTCGGGGGTAAGCTTATTTGTAATTAATCAATGATTCGGTTTGTTACGGGGTTCGTTGTGTTTTAGAGCTTCGCCGGACTGGACTGCAGTTGCACAGGCGAAAGATACAGGATAGAGAACAGGCGAGAAAAGTTCGGGAGAACAACTTGTTCAAGATCAAGGAGACCGAGCCGTTGAGTGCTCTGGTGAAAGAGAAACCCTCGTTTTTGCACTACTGCTGTCGGAGTTGCACTCCAGCTTCCAGAGTGAGTTTCATGGAAAAATGGACTGCCGAAACAAATCCTTGACACGTTGATGGCATGCCATCCACATTCGGGCGATTAATTTGAAAGCAATATCACGTAATTTTTACAAATAATATCACAGATATTAATCAATGGAATGCTTTGATTTTATAAAATTTTGGCGGTCAACGTGTTAACCCTTTGCAGTCGGAGCCATTTTAACTCGAAATCTAAAATAGTTTTTCTGACCTATAGTGTTTCCGTTTTATACGAAATAGAATTTAGTAACTCGTGCAACAATTACGCTATTAAGAGTTTCATAAATATAAAGCAAATTTGATAACGTTAACATTATTTTCAAACGTGACATAACAATTTTTAGTGGCGCCTTATAGTCGCCATTCGACTGCAAAGGGTTAAGGGAGTCTGCTCATAAGAATATTGTTCAATTGAGGAATTATTGTAGATCCACTGTATTGCACGATCATCCATATTAATTATGTGAAGAGCGATGTTAACGTGATTTAATATGATCGTGACTATATTGTATGGTATCTGAATTTTTTAATAGTTGTCTACCAATAGTGTTAACGGGCTGTTGTAATAATGCTTGTGAAGAGAGCAGCAATGTTAATAGCGTATAGACTCTACCCAGACAGTTTGACAACGTCGACATCGCTTCTTCACATTCCTGCAACACCAAAAATATATTTAGCCGTGCCTCTTGCGACCATCGCACGCACAAAATTCGGAATATCGTGGTTGCACATGTGCATCAATTCAGTTTCATTTGTTCTGAATAACTCGTCCGCCTACTATAGTTAACGAGCTTGATCGATAATATTCTACAAATATTCAAGAAAATATTCGAACTAATCAAATGTGTTAATATCTGTGATTACGAAATACTCTAAACGCATTGATGTTAAAAGTGTGTCCGATGTGCTCCGACTAGGAGAATGATTATTAAAATTCTACAAGTTATTATAGTAGACATTGTTTGGTGTAGTTTGAATTTCAAGCACCGCACAACGAAAAAACCTCTCGTTACCTAATTAACACCGCCATCTTTCGACGCACATTTAATTACGTAACTGCTGCATCGGATTCTGTCAATTCCTTCGATAACTACAGTAATTGTTGGTCGCGCGTTTACGCACAAGACATGCGCAAATTATTTTATTGTATAATTTCGTCGCGCATTTTATTGCGTAGTGATCGAATATAATAATACATTCTTTCCAACACACACGTTGATCATTTTTTGGTCAGTGAATTCAAACATAAGACGATGTGTAATGTATACCGTTGAGTGCAATGTACCTTTATCGGATGCATAATCACAGCTCTTGATGGCAATGTACCGACAATAGCGAGGGGTCGTTCAATTACTCTTATCGAATAATTCAATTTAAGAAATCTGATTTGAAAACTGACTCGTAATGCTCGTGAAACTTGCAGTAATGATAATTAACGTGATTGTGCGGTGATCGAGAGCTATTTTAAGCTAAAGAAAGAAAAATCTAAAAATGTATGACAAACCACGTGGACTTTTTTCACGATGGTTACGCATTACCATTATACGGGGATATCCCGAAGGTGTAAGTTGATCAAAGGATGTGGAAACATCCACGCGTAACATATCTATTTCCCTTGAAGAATCATTCTAAAAATAAGAAAGTATCTTCATGCGAAAAATTTTCCACTTAACTAACTTTGATTTCGTGTTATTACAGGATTCGTTGGTAAATAGTATTATCAAGCAGCACATGCCTTTCGGCCTAAACATACTAGTAGTCAATCCAGGTCCCGCGCTATTTTCAAAAGTGTTCAGTTGCATCTCGCATGTTTGGAGCCGTAAAGTGTACGATTACGCGAAAATTACTCAAATGGTATATCACAAATGAGCATTGAAATTTTTGTATCTTAAACTTCGAAATCGCAGACATTGCAGAGTATATTCCGTTTTTAGGTCCTGAACGACGAGAGATTAGAAGAAGCGGTCAAAATGACCGCTTGGGAAACAGTGGCAGACGAGGGCTGCAGCGAAACGAAGGCTCTGACCAAAGCAAAAGAAAGGGCTAAGACAATCCTACTTGAGATGGAAAGCAGAATAAGCAACGTTTTACTTAAATTGGCTGCTTGGGTTCTGTATAAATTGTTGCCGTGTTTTATACAGTCCGCAGTAGTATTACCGTCGCAGATAGAGATGCTGAANATTTGAAAGCAATATCACGTAATTTTTACAAATAATATCACAGATATTAATCAATGGAATGCTTTGATTTTATAAAATTTTGGCGGTCAACGTGTTAACCCTTTGCAGTCGGAGCCATTTTAACTCGAAATCTAAAATAGTTTTTCTGACCTATAGTGTTTCCGTTTTATACGAAATAGAATTTAGTAACTCGTGCAACAATTACGCTATTAAGAGTTTCATAAATATAAAGCAAATTTGATAACGTTAACATTATTTTCAAACGTGACATAACAATTTTTAGTGGCGCCTTATAGTCGCCATTCGACTGCAAAGGGTTAAGGGAGTCTGCTCATAAGAATATTGTTCAATTGAGGAATTATTGTAGATCCACTGTATTGCACGATCATCCATATTAATTATGTGAAGAGCGATGTTAACGTGATTTAATATGATCGTGACTATATTGTATGGTATCTGAATTTTTTAATAGTTGTCTACCAATAGTGTTAACGGGCTGTTGTAATAATGCTTGTGAAGAGAGCAGCAATGTTAATAGCGTATAGACTCTACCCAGACAGTTTGACAACGTCGACATCGCTTCTTCACATTCCTGCAACACCAAAAATATATTTAGCCGTGCCTCTTGCGACCATCGCACGCACAAAATTCGGAATATCGTGGTTGCACATGTGCATCAATTCAGTTTCATTTGTTCTGAATAACTCGTCCGCCTACTATAGTTAACGAGCTTGATCGATAATATTCTACAAATATTCAAGAAAATATTCGAACTAATCAAATGTGTTAATATCTGTGATTACGAAATACTCTAAACGCATTGATGTTAAAAGTGTGTCCGATGTGCTCCGACTAGGAGAATGATTATTAAAATTCTACAAGTTATTATAGTAGACATTGTTTGGTGTAGTTTGAATTTCAAGCACCGCACAACGAAAAAACCTCTCGTTACCTAATTAACACCGCCATCTTTCGACGCACATTTAATTACGTAACTGCTGCATCGGATTCTGTCAATTCCTTCGATAACTACAGTAATTGTTGGTCGCGCGTTTACGCACAAGACATGCGCAAATTATTTTATTGTATAATTTCGTCGCGCATTTTATTGCGTAGTGATCGAATATAATAATACATTCTTTCCAACACACACGTTGATCATTTTTTGGTCAGTGAATTCAAACATAAGACGATGTGTAATGTATACCGTTGAGTGCAATGTACCTTTATCGGATGCATAATCACAGCTCTTGATGGCAATGTACCGACAATAGCGAGGGGTCGTTCAATTACTCTTATCGAATAATTCAATTTAAGAAATCTGATTTGAAAACTGACTCGTAATGCTCGTGAAACTTGCAGTAATGATAATTAACGTGATTGTGCGGTGATCGAGAGCTATTTTAAGCTAAAGAAAGAAAAATCTAAAAATGTATGACAAACCACGTGGACTTTTTTCACGATGGTTACGCATTACCATTATACGGGGATATCCCGAAGGTGTAAGTTGATCAAAGGATGTGGAAACATCCACGCGTAACATATCTATTTCCCTTGAAGAATCATTCTAAAAATAAGAAAGTATCTTCATGCGAAAAATTTTCCACTTAACTAACTTTGATTTCGTGTTATTACAGGATTCGTTGGTAAATAGTATTATCAAGCAGCACATGCCTTTCGGCCTAAACATACTAGTAGTCAATCCAGGTCCCGCGCTATTTTCAAAAGTGTTCAGTTGCATCTCGCATGTTTGGAGCCGTAAAGTGTACGATTACGCGAAAATTACTCAAATGGTATATCACAAATGAGCATTGAAATTTTTGTATCTTAAACTTCGAAATCGCAGACATTGCAGAGTATATTCCGTTTTTAGGTCCTGAACGACGAGAGATTAGAAGAAGCGGTCAAAATGACCGCTTGGGAAACAGTGGCAGACGAGGGCTGCAGCGAAACGAAGGCTCTGACCAAAGCAAAAGAAAGGGCTAAGACAATCCTACTTGAGATGGAAAGCAGAATAAGCAACGTTTTACTTAAATTGGCTGCTTGGGTTCTGTATAAATTGTTGCCGTGTTTTATACAGTCCGCAGTAGTATTACCGTCGCAGATAGAGATGCTGAAGAAAGCAAACGAAACTGGCCTTCCTTTGGTATTTCTTCCGCTGCACCGCAGTCACTTAGATTACATTATGATCAGCTTCACTCTATTAATGAACGAAGTTAGATATCCACTGATCGCAGCCGGAGATAATTTAAAAATTCCATTCTTTGGGTGTGTTGCGGATATTCTGTATTTTGTAATCTATTCTGCTAAGCTCTTTCTTTACCAATAATTATTACCATTTAACGTTAATTCTAGCTGGCTACTACGAGGCTTAGGCGCGTTTTTTATCAAGCGTAGGATCGATCCGGTTTTGGGTCGCAAAGATGTTCTTTACCGTACTACTCTTCACACATATATCATGGAGAGCTTGAGAGCAGGCCATAACATTGAATTCTTCATAGAAGGGGGACGAACAAGAACTGGTAAACCGTGTATGCCAAAGGGTGGTATTCTGAGCGTGATTATTGACGCATACATGGATGGAACTGTTGAAGACGCGCTGCTAGTACCTGTTACAATAAACTATGAACGCCTCGTTGATGGGAATTTTGTTAGAGAACAGCTAGGTCAACCAAAGAAAATGGAAACCTTTTGGTCTACGATTAGAGCCATGTGGGAGACTCTAAAGGGCAATTATGGAATCGTTAAAGTCGACTTTTGTCAGCCGTTCTCCCTTAGGGTAAGCAGCCACTTAATTATCCGTAATCGTGATACAAAATGTCCTTATTAACTTAATTGCTTAATCGATAGGAAATGTTGAGTGCGTTTCAAGCACAGCAAAATAAGTTAACCGTTAATAAAACATCGCCCACCGAGAAGACTCTAAAGTATACAATGTCCAGTTCATCGTTGTATGGCACAGACGTTATTGTGGAGGAGCATCGTCAATTAGTAGATAGTATTGCGCGTCACGTTGTATATGGTAGGAGAAAGACGAATGATTACATGTACAGTGACCCATAAAAGTGTTTGTACACCTTTTAAAATGCAATAACGCTTTTAGGAACTAGACTAAATAATTTGAATTTCTTTTAGATGATAGAGGGATTAGTCTATTAAACAATGACTAAAACACTTTTATTTGTGACTAAAACGCTTGCTTTTTAATTTTTTTATCTGAGCTTATAACGAAATTTTAAAAGAAATACCTTTCGTAAAATTCTGTAACTTGTGTGCGTGCTGAAAATTTTATCGAAATCGATTAATCCAGAGTCAAGCTACAGGCGTTGAAAGATTTAAAAAATTGCAATTTCTTACAGTTTTTGGTCAAACGTGTCAAAAATCGAGACAAAACTGCGATTTTTGCTATGTTTAATTTGTTTTAACTCGTAACAACGCGTTTTAAAGGGTGGACGAACACTTTTGTGGGTCACTGTATTTTGATTGCATTGAATCCTGTTCAATAGAAAATATTTTTTAGACTGTTCTGTCTCGACTCCTATCATGTCCACCAACATCGTTGCATTTTTGCTTTTAAATAAATTCCGAGATGGTTGTACTTTGGACAAATTAGTGGAAGCATTTGACATGCTCAGACAAGACTTAGAGTGTCGCAAGAGAGATATTGCTTTCTGCGGAGAAAGTCTTGACATTATCAACCACGCTGTGAGCAAATGATTCTTTTATTAGCTTTTTATTGAAATAAGGTGATACGACCTCGCATTATATCTTTCAGATGGATATTTTGGGTCCGGGGTTAGTGCAGCAGCAAAGGCAAGAAATTACAGAGGTGATCGATGGTCAATTAATCAAATCAGGCTTCGTTACCGCAATCCGTCCTGTCTCGATATTACCAAATGTGATCGAATTGTCTTATTACAGCAATACGATGCTTACGTGTTACGTTATGGATAGTATAGTAGGTAAGGATGAAGCCAATTAATAGTTCTAAATCACTAATTCTAGACTCATTATTTCTCGTATTTTTTAGTATCAGCTTTGTATGCTGAATTGCAGTCACAGATCAACGATCCAGAAGCTATTGCTCGAAACAATATCACAGTATCTCAAGATCTCCTCATTCAAAGATCACTTAAACTATGCGATATCCTTAAATACGAGTTTATATTTTGCAAACCATGCCAGGATTTAGAACACGTCGTTGTTGAGGCAATAGAGAATCTCTCGTATACCGATATCATTATGTTACAAGAGGTATTATAAGTTAATGTAATTTTTTACCAACCAGCTATTGATAGTGAAAATGATTTTACAGCAAGGTTGCTTAGATGAAGAGTCATGGAGCAGAAGATTCGCATCAAAGTTTGACGACAGTTCGGACGAGGAACATATGAGCAGCAATAGGACTAAAAGTATTCAATATAAAGTAAGGATATGCTTTATACAGCTAAAGATATTTTGTAATGGCGATGTTCATTTGTTTGAATTTTGTTTTAGCTAAGTTTAGTACCAGAACACGCAAAACGCATGGAATTTCTCCATACGATGCTGCGGCCGTTAATTGATATCTACACGTTCAGTGCCTTTACACTTAAGAAATTAGTAGGACGATCACTTACCGAAAGAGATCTAATCCAGGAAATCTTAGCAGAATTGAAAACAAATTTAGATCGGGGTATATTAAATTATGGTGAGTAATAACATTGAAATATGTGCAATGGATGATAAGAGAAGAAAAGTAACGCAGGATCAATTTGTTCATAAAATAGGAGAGAGCTTATGCGTTGATCCAATAAAAAATTCGTTAAAATTGTTTGAAAAATGGAACGTTTTGGAATGCCACCCGCAAGAGAACATTAAAATACTCTATCTGAAGGATGAGTATGACAAAGACTGGGCTGTAACGGAGATCTATGAAACAATAGCAGCGTTCAAATGGACTCGAAATGTAAATTAAAAAAAGACATTACCAAGGAAATAACTTCTGTAATGTACTATTCTTTTATATGAAACATCGTTGTAAAACCTTGTATATAGTGGTTTCAGAACATTAAGTAAGATATAACTTTAAGAAAACTGTGTTTTCGCTACATATTAGAGTATGTATATTAAAAAATTGACAAGTTTTGTAGATAAGTCTTGGTAAATATTTTTTACATAGTCATCATGTTGTACAGGTAAACTTTAGATTTCAGTCGTTAATTCTGATGCGCGTACAAAAATTTTATATACATGGTTCATGTGATATTACTATACAATCAGCATTAGATGATTATAGATTTATAATTACTACGTTAATAAAACTAATCTTATATACTAATGGTTTGGGTATTAGTAAATTCTTTATTAATGTCAACGAAAGATACGCACTAAAAACTATTTTTATTATATTTTTATATAAAAATGCTAATTTTATACGAAATATTTACGTTAAATGTATATTATTAGAAAAAAATAAATATAATAATACGAAACTTCCAGTTCCATTAATATGTATACAATAGAAGTATAATATAAAATTTAATAACTGATGCAATTGGGTAGGTTTTTCTCATACCCATGCACTTTTCTCTGTCAATAAATAGTGCATCAACTTTCGATTTCAGATCTGTTTCTAGATTAGATCTAGTACGTAATAGTTGTTGATGTTGTGCTTCGAATTTTTGCAGCTTCAAGTTCATTTCATTTATCATTTCATTTATGGTTTCTACTTCCTTGATCATTCTGTGAATTCAAACCATAAACGTAAGATTGATGTTCTGAGAACATACATCATAAAAATTTCTTTTCTATATACCTGAGTTGAGCATAGTCTTTGCATAGTTCTGCCTCGGGTCGATGTGTCCTGCTTTCAAGACGGGTATGTGCAACCTTCAGGGCAGAACTTTTATCTGCAATTGCTTTCTGCATTAGTTGCATATTTTTTTCAATTTCAAATATCTCTTGTTGCATCTATATCAACAAATATGAAATATGTAGTGTTAAAAGCATCTAAGATGAAACTATAGGCTTCAATTACTTTATGTAAATGTATCTGTAATCTTTCTTTTGCTTCAAGCATCTCTGCAGCTCTTCTGGCTAGTGCATTATTTGTAAAGCCCCATGCGTCCCACATTTCGTGACCTACTGCATTTATGGCAATTTCAATGTCGCTAATTAACTGACTAGATTTTGATCTTTCTGTCTGTGATTTTTTCACTACATTATTGGAAGCTTCAGCCCACGATTCGGCTTGCGTAACACTGAATAAAAAATGTATTATAGTGCAACATAATCTTTATCAGCTGCCTCTGTAAATCATTAACTGTACTGTTACCTATTATCGTATTTTTCAATGCCACTGTAATACTGCAAACCACGACTAAAATTATTCATTTGGTGAGAAGTGATATCAATCCCTAATGCAGTTTCTTTGTTCCTTATGTCAATCTCTAGTTGATTTTGTACCGCTCTACTATTTGTAAGCTGAATATAAGAATTTTCTGTATAGCATGATAACCACACTTCTACATAAACTTTTCAATTTAAACGTACTTGGTTGATACATTTATCGGTAAACTCTTCTAATTTATTTTCACAATTTCTCACCACTTCTATCTCTTTTAAAAGAGCATGTTCAGCCTGATCGTGCACCAAATCAGAACCTAGTTACAGTTAATATTATATAATAAAATGAAAGAAGTAACAGCATATATAAGTCTTAAATGTAAAACTTCAAAACCTGTCCTGGCCTCGCGGTAGTATAAACATTCCTGCGCTATGTGCAATTGTCCCTCCAAATTTTGTATTGCCGACTGCAAGTTTCTACGGCATTCTTGCATTTTTGTATTTGCAATTATCATCCGTTCCAGTTCCCCAGCTACTTCGTTCCTCCAGAACGTCGTGTCCGTGATTCTTTCTCCCAATTTTCGACCCGTTTCCATTTGTCCATTTTGCACCTTTTCGTCGGCCTCTCTAAGATCACCTCGACAAATTATAAAAATATATTGTGTTCTTCGCGCTTAGGACAAATGGTATCTTTAAAACTGTTCAAGTTGAACTCCAAAATAATTTTTTTCTTTTACCGCATCATCCGAACGGTGTCTTGGCGTAAGTTTTCCGAATAATTTCTATTGCTGTTAGATTCATTGTAAAGATTTATCTGGTTTTGCACCCATTCGTATGGCCCGTATCTAGTAAAGAGTGCAGCTCGAGCTGCATGTGCAGGATTCCTATCGAAACCGGTTACCAAATTTGGAAATCGTAGTGGTTCCGTGGCCATTCCGTTAGGCATGTAACAGGTTTCGGCCAGTATGTTTGTCATAGGTTGTGCGGGTCTAAATTGTCATTAGAAAGTTCTTTTTAAGAAATGTGCTTTTCAAATAATGATGCTGCATGACTACCGGAAGTTCTTACAAGGAGGCGGCTTCTACCATTTCGTATCCCATAGTAGGGCGCCATGGATGAGGCTTCGGGGTTTTATAAAATTCGCCGACTCTAACTGGAACAGGTGGACCAGCTATTTGTTCCATACATGGTAACGCACCTACTGTGCTCCATGGTTGGAGTTGCTAAAATTAATATGTCAATTTAAAGAAAACATTGCATGAGATTTCACATTGTGGAATACAAACCGAATACATAACAGTTTCATTCTTCCCTCCGCTTTTATCGTTATCCATGTTGTGTTTTACGATATACGAGATTCACAAGAAACCAGAATGTTTAACGCAACGAAAATTTCCTCATTAGAAGAACTCGTTTAATTTAAAAAAGTGACATGGTTTAGGTTTCAGAGGGGAAACTTATTTGAAAACCGGAAACAAAGTCATCACGTGACGTCTGTCATATGATTCCAGATCTAGTCAGGTGCTTCGTTGCCTTCTGCTCGATTGTGAGCTGATCAGTACTTCAGTATTCGTTTGACTCGCCCAAAATTGTTTCGTTGGAAGCATCATGACACAATTTTGTAGTGTTTTGAGTTTGATTCTTGCATTAACCATTGCTGCTCAGGTTTCACCATTGTATGCGAATAACGCGGTACCTGTACTAATATGGGGTGGTGCGGGCTCCGATTCCGAAAGACATTCAATAAATCCATTTTTGAAAACTACTCGCAAAGAATTCGAATCGTTTCTGCACGAGAAGTTGGAAGGCTTGCCTCCTGTACTTCTCTTTGTGAAACGTAATCTGTGTGTTGAAGATTTAATAAAGCACAAGCAGGTTAGTATATGGGCGACAGCGCCCAAAAAGTGATTTGTTTGAACATTCGAATAATACATACAGCCCTTTCTTTCAGCTTCTTCATTCGACTATCACTGGTGATTCATTCTATTATTATCCTGCAGTTGAAACAGCAGTCAATGTTATCGAAGATTTACCTTCTTATAATACAACTTATGCAGACTATACAGATGCTATATCTGAAGGGCAGTTGTCAGTTATGACAATTAGCAATTTAGATATTGTACCACAGACATATGAAGCATTGAAAGAATCTAGTCCTAATTTAACAGCTATTCTTACAGGAAGATTATGTAGTTATAGACAATCCGAACGTGTTAAAAGAGAAACTACTGAAAATAACACTAATCCTTTTACCTTGCAAACTGCAAGGGTACTTTTCTATGCTAGTGAATCTCTATTACTGCAGGTAATTACATATTAAAAATATCATTTTTCTACAAATTATTAGGAGTACTTTTATAATAAATGTATGTGTTACAGATTCCACAAAAAGATAAAGCTATAGAGCTTAATCCTTTAATCGCAACAGAGACTACAGATAAAGATGAATTCATATTGAATCTAAATTACAAACCAGAATCAGATAATCTTACGCTTTCCTTTAAATTTGAAAATAGAAGTGGTTACTTTACTCTCAGGAAGGTTGTTTTGTTCTCAAATTTTGAGAGTGACACAAAAAATATCGACTTAATAACAAGCACAAATATTGTCTTTGCATCAAAATTTTCGTACCATTGTTCATATAATATAACTTTCAAACAAGACAATACTCACTTGCTAACTATAAAAAATTTCCAAGTGCAAGTATTTAATAAAGAAGATTCCGCTAGAGAGGCGAAATTTAGCGATGCATACGATTGTGTTGGTTTCACTACGATTCCAATTTGGACAGGAATATTTGTTACTGGTATATTAGGTTTAATTTTAGTTTGGGGTCTTACCATGATTATGGATATTCGTACTATGGACAGATTCGACGATCCCAAAGGGAAAACTATCACAGTATCAGCTCAAGAATGATATGTTACATTAAACTTAGTAAAACGAACGTTCTTGTGTAAATATATAACATAAATAGTAACGACCCAATAAACTGTTATACCGTTACTTCCATGCTCATGTCGTACATACATATATAATTATTGATAGCAGCCATTTGTAATACATTCTGAAAATATTGATTTTCTTTTAGGGCTATTCAAATGTATGTAATAACATTTCACTACAGAAAGATTTATCTAACCATTCCAATTATCTAACATTATGTATGCATCTGTTCAGTATTTGTATATTTGTTGCGTGCGATAATGCTTCTATTTTATAATGGTTTTTTTTCGAAGTAGTCTGTAATTTCTAGTAAATTGTTTTATATCAACAAGGAAAGATGCAATATTATGTATCAATGAACAATCACATGATTGTATCTTTCGTTAACAAAACAGTCTTGTGATATATTAATAGATTGAAGGGACATGAAGTTTACGAATACGTTCACACGGTGCCGTTTCTGTATTCTAGGGTGTTATATGTTGACGATAAGAGTTAGTTATCTACAGATACACGTATATATACACATATATATTTATAGACACGTACAAATTCATATATTATAATAATACATATACACACACAACAAAAACTTGGTTCTTTAACTATTTTATTGATTTCATAAATTTTTTTCTTAGCAAGAAATTGTAAAAATGTTTTATTAGACCATATGATAACTTTTAATATATAAAAAACATACTATACAAAACTGTGTATGCTTTTGTTGATTTTTAGCACAATACCTATGTTTTACATGCTGGAACCTCTGCTCCATGTATTACCATGTATACCATGGAGTAGGGTGGCAATTCAATTGATCCTGTTGGTTCTAGTATTACAGGTGGGAATGGTGGTAAACTTCCATCGGGTTGCAATTTCAATGTTTTACCATTCATCTTTATATCTCTGAAATGTAATGGAATATTATAATGAATTTTGTAACAATGTGACCAATAATTGCATTCACATACTTAGATTGAAGATAATCAGAAGTTAGCGCATATACGAAGATCTTAGCGTTTTTATCAAGTATAGGAACGATCCCTCGAATAATTATTAGAGAAGGAACCTTATTAATATTGATTCCGTATATCGTAATTGCTGGAACTCTGTTAATTAATGCTTTCTTAGGGGTACAGTGGGCATAGAGCCGTACACCTTCCAAGCTAACAACATTTGCCGGTGTTAACTTTAAAACTCTCTCCGATACAAAGTGTTTATACACAACACTAACCCACCAGTCTGGATTTGGTACAAGATTTGGTCCTATCATAGCATAATTATTGCCAAACAGCGACTGTCTGGTAACAGCATTTACACCAGTACTAGCACTATATCCTAACTTATCAAGCCATAAAAATCCAGCTACAAATCTATCTGACAATTCTGGTGCACCTCCACCAAATGCTGTACTGGTTTCTGCTGTAAATGACACGATCAATTTTGGATTTAATGGATGTTACTCATTTTGAACATGAATTTATCTAATCACATACATAACCACATAAGAATATTGTTTCCCGATGATGCAATGGCCTGCTGCATAGATTTAATTTGTTCTGGTAGATAATTGAATGTAGCAATATTAAGAAAATCTGCAATTTTAGCTTCTCTCCCATTCAGATAATACTGATGCCAAGTAACATAATTTACACTGTTTTTATCGTTCTTTAAAAACGTTTCAGCATAATTCTCTCCAAAATGATTACTCTCCCCTACACGGTTCACTTCTGGACCAACAAGGATACTTGCATTATATCCTAATCTGTTTAATAACAGTCTTAATTGATAATAATCATTTGCAAGTTGAGTTGCGTTCACTCTTCTATTAAACACATGATAAAATGAATTCGGTTCTGCAATTACATTTCAACCATAATTAAAAGATGTGATAACTAAGATTACAATATTGTAGCATAACATTACCATTTCCTAATTGCCAATCCAACTTCATGTAATTTTCCTTGGCAAATGAGATTATAGTCCTAGCATTAACATCGTCCCACGCATTATTTGCATCTCTAATTAATACATTTAAATCGAAAATCATGCGTAGTTTCGATTTCGTTGCAAAATTGTATAAATTTGTGAAATCTACATCGGTGATTGTAAAGTTACTTATATCATCACCATTCACAGGACTAATTGCCGTTTCATTAATTATCTGCATCGTCTGTTAATCATAAAATCACGCGAAATATAAAAATGAGTAAATAAGCTATGCTAAAATTTTTTAAAATATACATTACAAGATTAACAAAACCTGATTAAAAAATAGACAATCTGCAGATGTTCCACCTATTCGAACATAAGCAGGTGCGAGATGTCGGGCTAAATTGACGAACTTTTCATTTTCAATTGGAAGATTTTGTATATGTCGTAATAAGCTTGTATCAAGCCCAAAGGATAAGAATTTGTCTGATACGACATATAGAGGTGAACGTTGTGAATGCAAATAATATACATGGATCTTGTTCGTTTCAATGATCACATTATTAAAATTCCATGCTGATAATATTAAAAATATTATGCAAAATCCCAGAATAGATAAGCTAAAAACATGGCAAAATGAGGTATCTGAAATTCACAAAGATAAAAATGTATTATTGAATATTCAGACAATTAGCGCAACTTTATAAAAATTTGTATTTCAAATCAAATTTGAATCTACGAGCATGCGCAATATATCGCATAACATGGCGGTTGATGTACTATACCGATAACGTAAATTTAATATTAAAATTAATAATGTCCGAATTTATAATTTATTTAATTATAATAATTAATTATAATTCATAATTTATTTAAAATAGATTAAATGTATTGAAATTTTTCATTAATTGGAACATTTACTTACGGATACGAACTTCGCCAAGGTTCTCGTATTGATTCTTTCCTCGTTCGTTGATTTTCAAGTAACTCATAATTGTTCAAGATTTTCTAAATGTTTTGAGAAGTATTCTTTATTAATTATTCTTGCTCTGCGTAAAAGAGGTACGATTATTAATCGAGTAATGTGACTTCTGTTTATGTTTATATAGCAACGGTTGATAAGAAAATAAATGTGTATTGTATATGCTGCACAGCAGGATGTTGGCGATTCGCTGTGAAATGAGTCAAATGAGTGTAGAAGAACCTTAGAAAATGCCGCATATATTTCAAATATTCAAACAATAGTATTTTAGATTATGTATATGTATCTACATACATATTTGCACCTACTACTACTTCTAGTAGCCTAAAGTTTATAGTAAAGTATAGTAACTACTATACTAAATGAATGAGCATAATAAATTGTGCTCGTAACTGGACTGAATTCGAGATGAAAAGTGACTTACTATGTATTTGATTAAAATGTATATACAAATTTTCCTTAATGTTATAAATTGCATTTTTATCTAAGTTTATGTTAAAAATTTAAGTACATGCTAGAAAAAATTACTTTGTTACACGTAAATTTTCTTTTCATAATGTTACGTCCAGATTGTATTTTTCCGATACTGAATCGACCTGTATAATGATTATATTTTCTCTGTCTGGCAACTGTAATAATTATGAAAATAACATGCCTAATTAAGCTTTTTGTAATATACGTTTAGAAAAATTTAATGGGAATACCTTTCGAGGTTATTTGACCAGGATTTGAGTCTAAGCTAGAACTCGATGATTGAAAAAATACAGATTTACGTCGGTGTTTAACAAGGCGATTACGATAAGATAAACTGCGGCGACGTTTCTGTCGTTTAAATAATTGCTGTTTCGATTCCGAGCTGCTTAACTCATTTTCGGCCCAAAATGGTTTATCGCTATCATCTGATGCCGGCAGCGCTAGTTCTGAAGACTTATATATATATGATTGTTTAAGATATTAATGTGTTCGCCAATATTGTTAATAACTTACTATTGTTACAGATTTCCCAAATTGGAAACACGAATTGTTTCTAATCTCTGGTTGATTCAATACACCGAAAGACACAGCAGAATAAAATGATTGATTTTCATAACCTTCGTCATCTTCGGAGCTATGCACTGTTTTTCGAATATCCCCGCTAGCACGATAACCCATTACTGTTTTTACTTAAATTTGTGAAAATATTGTAATTGCAACACGTTGTGTTTGTAAATTATATGTTTCCGTTAAACTGGTAAATTTATAGGTGACTTGGGGTTTCAAAATAACTCAAATACTATTCAGAGCCATTTGGAATGATAGGTTCTTTTTTTGTTGTAGAAATGCAATTTCTACTACTTTTTGAAATTTCACTCGTGTACAAGATTAATGGAAATATTTTGTTGTTATTTAAAATGTTTTTATTACATTTTTGCCAAAACAAAAACCTATTTCAATGAGTTCTTATTTTTGTAAAGCAATGGTGTATTAATAATTCAATGTATTAAATTCACTGTACATTTACAATACCATACCGGTATGTTATAAAAACAAATGAAACAAATTTTATATATTCGGTGCAAAATATCCTGTTTTGTTCTTCATTGCTATAAGAAAGTAATTGAATAAAATTGAAGTCATTGTTTTGTCTTATAAACATTAAGCATCTTTCATGTCCAACACTTTCCTTTTATGTCAACAGAACAGATTTGTCTGGTTTTTTTGTTTTCCAAACAGTTTCTTCGAACTTCAATATTAACCACATACACCTACATAAAGAGGAAATCTTAGTCATTCTCTGATTTTCTACGTTTCTTTGAACGTGGACTGTCTGTATCATGAGGACTTGGTGTAATGTGACTCCTTTTCCGTTTTATGCTACTTTCACTAGCCTCACTGCTACTGCTTGCTGCAGTTCTTGTTTCTCTTCTGAGTGTTCCCTCTCCTGTAACTTGCACCAATATCTAGAATGAGAATAAAATAATATTTGCTATTAGTGACAATAATGATGTTTAATATCTACAAAACTTATGATTGGATGTATACCTGCATATGCTGTAGACATTCTTCTTGCATTGAAATTGCCATTTTATAAATAAAAGTATCATGTTTATTATACATAATTGCATTTTGAAACATTAGCATGACATCGCGTTGGAAATGTATTGTAGACCTGATTGTGCCATTGTCTATATTCTTTTTAATTGTCGATAAATCCATGGGTCTAAATATTACTGAATGATAGCCAGGCGCTTGATCTTCTGTAATAGGTCTCAAAAATACAGATGCATATTTATGTGTGGCAAGACGATTATAAAATAACATAACTGCCTTTTTCCATGCTCTGTAATCTGCACCTTCTCCAGTACCTTCATTCTCTGGCTCACTGTCAATAGATGCGTTTTGTTTTTTGGAATAAGTTTTCATAGCACGTCCACCGCTTAATTTACTTAACGACGATTCTTCCTCATCTAATTCAACAGTATCTTCACCAGCGCTAACTATCGATTCTGTTTCCTTTTTTACATTTTGTTCGTTGTCTATAATCTTTTTATCTTCTTTTTCTTCCTTTACAGGAATATCTTCCTTTTTTAATTCTAACATAGTAACATTCTCTAATCGAATTTTAGATTCTTCTTCTATTTTAGATTCTTCGAATGTGCTTTCTTCTTTTTTAATAATAGGAACATCGTTTTCAGATTTAGCAGGCTCCATAAATTCTTGTTTTGAAATTTCAACTTCTTCTGGTGACACTAGTTGAGCAGAATCTTCTACAAGGGTAGTTTCCTCTATCTCTTCTTCTTTAATTTCTATATCTTGCAGGATAGAACTGGTTGTATCTTCCGAAGAATCCTTCGTGTCTTCTTTCTTAAATTCATCTGTATAAATCTCTAAAGTTTCTTCTGTGTGTTCTTCTTGAGATTTTTCTGGCGATTGTTCACTTACTTCGATGATAGTTTTCTCTTTTATTACAATTACAGGTTCCTCTTTAAACGATTCGACTGATTCTGTACTTTCAATTGTATTCTCTATGATTTGTTCTTCAGTTATTTTCTTCTTGTCTTCCGTGCTGTGTATACTTTCGTCATCTTCTAAAATCAAACTAATGTCTTGGGACTTTTCCGTGTCCTCGGTGCTGGGAAGATCATTCGTTACCTCGGAAGAAACACTAACAACTTCCGCCGATGGAACATCCTGCTGTTCACCAGTAATTTTAGCAAGATGCATTTCTAGTTGATCTAATTCCATATTCCCCTTATTATCTAGCTCTTCAGAAGACTCTCTTTGTAGTTTATTGCTAGGTGATTCTTTAGTCTCTGGTACAACGACATCTGTTTCTTCCTCTTCTTCTATCTCATCTTCTACCATATCATCCAGCTCTTTCATACGCATTTTGGAATCAGCTTCCTCTGCTTCCACATTTGATGTTGAATCCATAGTATCTAATTCCTCAATCATTTGTTTTTCTTCTAGCGGTGCATCTTTGCTACTGTCACCATCATTTGTCTCCAACTCAGGGAGAAGTTCATCAGGTACTGTCATCCTTTCGTGACTTGTAGATTCTTCAGATTTAACTTGCTCGGATGTACTAGATACAGTTTCAGATATTTCAGCAACAATAACTTTAGGTTCTTGTGGTTCAATAGCAACTGTCCCTATGATTTCTGCAATGTTCGATGTGCTAGAATCGATTTCTTCAATAGCCATTTCGCTCTCTGGTGAATTAGAGAGCGACACAACTTCATCTACATCTCTAGGCTCTGGACGTTCCGTAACAACTGGGACTTCTTGAATTTGGGGTACAGTAAGACTATTAATTGGCGTAGTAGTTGTGTCTAGAGTTTGTGGACTCCCAGTTATTTCTTCCTTTATTAATTCTTCTATATCACCAATAATTTCGTTAATTTCATCTTTGTCTATTACATCTGCGATATCTTTATGTATTGCATTTATTACGTCTATATTGTTTATTATGTGTACCATACTCTCCGTAATTGGACTATTTGGTGGATTAATGGCAAGTGATTGAGCAGGCATTGGTGTCTCATTTTGAATTGTTACTTGATGAACAGGTTGTGTTTGTAAAGTATGAACTTCTGTAGGCACGTTCTGTTGCGATACAATAGTTGACGTTGTCTGTAAATTTGGTAAGGGACCTCGTTGTGCATTAGTAGGCATTTCAAGCAACATTGATAAAGTCGGGGCACCAACTGATGGTCTCTCTGGTGGTGCATTTGTAATTGTTGAAGAAACTAATTGATGTAGTTGTGGGGAAACGTTCTGCGTCAATTGAGTATTTGGAACCTTAGGGCTAGAACCAAGTAGGCTTGTAATTGTAGGAGAGCTTGCTTGTGCTGTTGTAGTTGATGTCTGAATTTGTGTGGTAGGACTTGGTGATTTCAATAAACTTGTTAGTAAAGGCGATCTCCCTCCTTTACCCTTCTTTTCATCCTCGTCAGTTGCTTCTGTTGTTTCTTGAAGTTCTAGAGAAGTATCGGTAGATCTACGTTGATTTATAGCAGATGTTCCTTGCGGTGAATTCAATTCTTGCTTTTGTTGACGTTTGGCTAGCCATGCCGAATGGGCCCTTGCTTTTTGTTCTTGCTCCCGTTCTTCCTGTTCGATACCAAGCCACATTTTTTGTAATTTATCTTCTGTTATAGGTCCTGATTTTAACATATTTATTTCAGCTTTAAGTTGTTGGTACTCATCTCTTTGGAAGGCCAATATTTGTCCTAATTCAGTTATTCTTTCCTGTGTTAGCTTTCTAACTATGGATTCACCAGTTGTTTCGCCACTCTCTCTCTTTTTTCTCTTAGGAGTATCCGCATTTTCTAATAAATGTGCATACTGAATGGCACAAGACTTTTGAGAAAACCAATCGGGTGGCCTTAATGTTTCTTTTTCAACAATTGCCTTCAAGGATCTTGACACGCTCATCCAATTTTGGTCACCAGACTTCAATACACTGGATGCTAAACATAGTTGTTCGCGGGTACTCCAATTGTCATAGGTTCGTTTTAATTTCAGCCCTAAAAAAGATATTGTAATAGCAATTACAAATAAATTAGAAAAACAGCGAACTTGTGAGTAATTTCTGTGTAACAATTCCTACAAAAGTAGTAACGCTTTGAGAATCAAATTGTTGTTTACATTGTATAGGTTACAAAACAGTGTTAATCTATTTTGTTTCATTACATACACAAACAAAAATAATTAACTCGTTTAATCTTTTTCAATAACAAGTAACGCTTGTGGCATGATGTTGCTATATTATACGAACAATTAAGCGTTTAAGAAATGTTTATTAACAGTAAGTAGTTTTCTTAACCTTCAAATCAGAAACAAAAATAAATAATTCAAAAACTTACGGTCTTGTACTGACGTCATTTTTTCAAACAACAAGTTTAGCCTTTCATTAATGTATAGGCACAAACATTGAAATTCACAGATTAATTATTAAAAATTTATTCGTTGTTGATTCTTTACATTCAATTCATGTTGGATGTACGCTGATGTACGCATTGTTCCTTTCCAGTGGAACATGGAACGCGTGGACAGCTGATTTCAAATCGAAGAGCAGGGAACACGAGAAACGGAACTGTAATGGCGGATTCCAAGTAAGCTGTCAAAGAATGGTGCATTATAGTTTTGATTTTATTCATGGATCGTCAAACGTAATTAATCTAGAATCGAGTGAAAAGTTCGTTAATATGTATCCAGTATGTGAAATCGACGAATTAGTGGTGCAGCTGATGTAAATTGTACATGTACATATATATATATATACATAGCTGAAAGCGCGAGTGTTATATTAATTGTACATACCAACCAATAAATTCTATAACTGTTTTTACTTTGCAATGATGAATAACCGAAGGCGGACAAATAACTTTACATATGTTAGTTCGTGCGTAAAGTATATGATATTTATGCTCAATTTCGTTTTCTGGGTAAGTGAGTTTTTCACATCTTTAATATCTTAATAAATTTTCTTTAATTGCTGTAATCATCATCTCAGTACTTGTCTCTCCAAATTACATCAAAATTTGGGGAAATGGTTAACTACAGGACAATACAATTTCAAATATAATATTTTATTATGTAGTTATTCGGAGGATTGTTAATTGGAGTTGGCTTATATGCATTTGTGGACAAATGGCAAGCTACTGGATCTGTTAGACTGGAAAATGTGTACGATGTGGTCTTGAATATTTCTCTTGTAATGGTCATTGCAGGAGGAGTAGTCTTTGTTGTTAGTTTTGCTGGATGTGTTGGGGCACTGCGTGAAAATACATGTCTTCTGAAATTTGTTAGTACTACTACATATATGCTAAGTGAACATTTATAGATTAGTTAACATATTGTTTTTTTGTTGCAGTATTCACTCTCTTTGTTGGTGTTCTTTCTCCTTGAAATGGGAGTAGCAATTGTTGGTTTTGTGTTTCCCCATACATTGCAATCATTGTTAGAAGAATCATTCACAGATAAGATTATACAAACGTATAGAGAGGATCCTGATCTACAGAACTTCATTGACTTTGGGCAACAAGAAGTAAGACCTTCCATAATAGCCCAATAATATATTACAAAAATCTATAACATTGAATGTATGAATATTTTGATCTATAGTTTCAGTGCTGCGGTTTGAGCCAAGAAGGATATTTGGATTGGGGAAAAAATGAATACTTCAATTGTTCTAGTCCTAGTGTAGAACGTTGCGGTGTGCCGTTTTCTTGTTGTATCAATGCTACAGACATATCAGTATGCTCATTCTAATATTCAAACTTTTAAATAGCAGTAGTATAATTAAGACACAATACAAATAAGATGCCATTTAAATTTTCAGAGCGGTCTTGTGAATATAATGTGTGGGTACAAAGTTCAAATGTTTCCAGTCTCTGAAGCCGGCAAAAAGGTGTGGACCAGTGGATGTATTGAAATTGTAAGAAGTTTTGCAGAACGAAACTTGTATACAATAGCTGGTATTGCTTTGGGTATAGCCCTTAGTCAACTGTTTGTAATTTATCTTGCCAAAACACTAGAAGGTCAAATTGAATTACAAAAATCTCGTTGGCATTCCTGAGCTTGACTTCAGGCCACCTACCGCTATCAGATTCATTGCCCTCCCAGCTGGCAGGTGGCCAGTGGCCGAACAAGAGGCCAAGATGTCGAAACGCACGTAAACGTTCGAATGACATTACTCGTTCTTTTCGCGATCTTCGTATACATATTATGCATTCTTTTTTTGATTAGGCTTGTTCTTTATTTTAAAAATTATTTTCATATATACTTAAACAAAGGCTAGCTTTAACTTACATACTTTCCTGTTGTTGTAAACGTTTTTTTGTTTTTCTTTTTCATCGTTCTTATTAAATCGTTGAATGCTTTAGCCATATATACATTTTTTTAATGAAATTTTATTTACATAGCAGCAAACTGGTCACACTAGTTCATTAAAAAAATGTGATCCAAGTATAAGCCTTCATTTACATGCATATGAATTTGCATTTACAAAAACTACTCGCATTTGGGTAGAATTTTTAGTTAGTATAAGATTACTAAAGGATAGAACAGTGAGTACATGCCAAGGTAATTGATTTAATATTAACGTGCAATAATTATTCATGTATGATTTTCTGAAAAAAATATCCTTATACAATATTGAATTTCATACGATAGTAATTTTTGCATCAGATTTTCAAAGTATCATCAGAATAATGTATCCATACATATTATAAGTACTGACAGTTTAAGCTTTTGAATAATTGATCTATAAAAGACTTACAATTAGATTATGTAATTTACAAAGTAGACACAATTTATATGAGGTTTATAAGCGATTGAGTTTTTATACTCTTCTTTTTCTGTATATTTATGCAATTATTTGCAAAAATGCTTTAGCAGGTAAATCGTTCTCATTTTAGACGAGAGCTTTTTGTTATTCTTTTAGATAAAGAATACTTATCAAACACAATAGAATACACTATATAAGTACACAGATAAAATACGCACATCGTTCGAAAAAATTAACTTCGAATCTCTTTTGCTATGTATTCATGTTTTTTAATCTTTATATGAGCATATTATAAAAATATTGTAGGATTTTAAGAAATAGTCGGAAACAGGCCTTGGGACTGAGATTCGTATATTGATCATCGATCATCTGTACAAAGCCTTCCGACTTTTTCCTAATTTCTTAGCCAAAATATTCTTATAGGTCTGGTGGGTCCTGATCCCCCAATATCAGTAAGCACATAGTCATTTACAAATCCATATAGTTTCGTTCTATTATATTACATTAGTGTAACTCTAATCTAATGTATAGATGAAGAAACGTCCAGTGCCAAAGTCAGAATATTGTCTAACATTTTTATTTGGAACAAAACCTGACAATAATCTGGTGTAAACGATTCGTTTATTGAGTGCATATGGAGTACATCTGCGTGACTTTTTATCGAGAATAAATGTAAAACTGATATATGAATCCATCTAGTTTGTAATAAACAAGTATTATTCTAATATTGTGTTCTTGCCATTACCAGTGTTCGAATATACATATAATATGAAAATGAAAAAGAAATGTTCAATAAATTTATGAGGTGATTCATGTAAAAATGAAGAAAACAACAGCTGGTGTTATTATTCATTGTAAATTAGTTTATTTATACAAAGAAGTATCTATAGGCACACAATCTGAATATTCTAAAATAACACTTTGACCATCAACAAGTTCAGAATTTTCTAGCAACTTTGTTAATAATGTATCCATTTCATTGGATACCAGTTCACCAGTTGCATGATGAAATAATTGTAATCTAGATGCACCCGCTACATGATTATTGTTGGACATTTTAAGTATGTCAGCCAACGAATCAATGGCTTTTCCTATTGTCCAAGTCATATTCACATAAATACCCTTTGATGGTCCTATATGTTTATTATACATTTTAGGTGATGGGTATACAAGAAAGTAGCAACGTTCGTTCATTGGTATATTTTTAGGACCAACAGCAGAACCCTTTATACGCATAAGACGTACCTGTAAAAATAATGTTTAGTGTAAACTTATACGCATAAATTCTATCTTACAGGTCATTTAAATACCACAACATACTTTGTTGGCCATCGCAATGTTTTTAGATTTCTTTAAACTAACTGTAATTTCTTGATCCACTATAGCTTTTGCTTCTGCAAATTGTTTCTTTGGTATCTGCCATTTTTTCAATTTCATTGTCTTCTCTTCATTGGAATATTCTAGACACCCATGGTATCTGTGTTTCAAACAAAAATGTTTCTTGCACTTGATGCAATTCATTTCAATAGGTGAAGTTTCTTTGCATGACTCATCTGTGCAAATGTAACTTAAAGATTTTGTCTTGGTCTCTGTCACATTGTCGCGGAAACTTTCGCATTTGAGAGAGTGTGCCTGAAAGTGTTGCATGCAAAAGATTACACGACAATGATTGCACGTGAACGGCAAAAAATTTAATCGTTTGCATTCATCGACTGAACATCTTTCCCCCAGATTTGGAAAATCCATTATGAGTCCTTGTTAAAAATAAAATAAACATTAATAAGTAAATTGTAGATACATTGGTTATGTAAAGTATTCAAGTATATACTTACTTAATTAATTGTGAGACGGTGTCGGAGAATGCAAATGATTTTCACTGAGTGTGCCCAAAGCAAGATTATTCCACTTTTGTTCCAATTCCTTTAGTGTCATTTGCGAATCGCCATTGTCACTTTCCGGATCAGGTAATTCTGCTGGTGGTACTACAATATCGTCAATGGGCAAACAGTCATTTTGCCAAGCTTCATCGATCACGTCTAATAATTTACCGTCTGCACACACCTGACTGTCCATTCCGTAAAGACTCACTTAATTAATCGAACAATGTTTCGCTCACTTTAATATATGTATGTACATATGTATAAAGAACTTTTATACGACCGAAATGACCGAATTCAGAACAATGCACATGTATGCCGAAGTGGATGAAATCCTGCGCAATAAAATATATAAGGTCATTGTACTCTGCTTACGTGAATGAAGATACGGAAATTGTTTTTTTATATCGTATGTTCGTAGAAAATAGTACAAAAATTTGTTTAATCGAATTACAACAAAAATATTTGCGTTATATTTAAATTGATAAGCTTACAATAAGATTGCATAAAACAAGATTATTGTTATAAGAAAATTATAACAAATCATATTTTTCCATGGTGTCGGATTGATTTCAATTTCTATGAATAAATATTTCAAAGAAAAAGTTGTTATGTATAATGTTTTTAATTATCTAAATATGTGAAACAAATAATAGAAATGATTCGTCGCGCCATATACGGAAAAATGCACAAACAAATAGCTAAATAGTACCATACTTTTAACGCTAGATGGTGGCGCGATGATACTTCGGGGCCATTTTTTAAGAAACAGGTATCAATGAAGAACTCAACATGTAACAATCGTTATTAAATTACATAGCTGCAGAGGTCTTCTTAATTTTACTTAGACTAGAATAGCATTTATTGCAGTGCGTTATTTTTTATTTAACGGTTTTACACACTAGAAGTACATTGCATCAAAGTAAACTTACTTACGATACTCGATCGACTGTGCTATGTTTAATATACGTTAACGCGTCAACTCGTATCCGTTACATCTAACTTAAAAATACTTAACGCTTTGGTTCCCAGATCATGTTTTATTTAGGTCATCTTGTTTGAATCATTTAAAATAAAATCCCCCGTTATTTAGCCGCTTTTCGCATTTGCCCTGTACAATGCCACTCGAATTGCACCGTAGAGAGCCGTTGCAGAGACACGTCTAATGGATGGATTAATCTTCTTGATTACGGTGTTCGTCGATTAAAAGATTCGAGTCGCGTTTCTCGGCTGTCTCCTCGCAGACACCTAGGTTGCAGAACAATCCGTCGGCGCAGGGACAAAGGATATAATGAACGTTGGTCAACTGCACCTGGACACCGTCAGGATACGACGCAGTCATGTTGATGGTGGAAGGGATGCCTGGTCTGCACACTTCTCCCACAGCATGCATAGGTCTGCACTGAGGGGTACTGTACCTGTTTGCTCCTAAAATCAATCGTTCTATTAATTTCATCGCTTATCAATAATTATCAATAAATATCATCGCGTTCCTTCAAGCGAGTTAAAGCCGCTGCCACGATTCAACGTGAACTCTTTCTGCAGTGTCGAAACGCTGCCCTTGAGCTTCGATTTCGTTCTTGGAAATCGGGATAAGTCACAAGGAATAAAACAGCACACGATTTCCTTTCGATGGCACCATGTGTAAATTGTTACCATCGAACGTCATACCTATGGAGCAACAGTATCCGGGTCCGCATTCCAAATTATTCTGACAGTGAATATAATCCGGTCGGTCCGTTGCGTGGGAGAGACAGCTAAACGAAAGGAGAAGAATCGAAGCGAGCAAGATCGACGCCATCGCAGCTCGTTTTGTTATCAGACACCTGGGAACGATTATACAAAATTNTGATTATGAAACATTCAATATGAAATATTCAACATTGGAAATGAAACATTAAACATTCAATATGGAATATTCAACCGTGAACATGAAATATTGAACATTGAACATTGAACATGAGATATTGAACATTAAATAGAAAATCAAAGGAAATGTTTTATTGTTGCTACTATTGACTGATATATGAAGCAGCTGCTTTTAGTTCTCCGTAAGCCTAGTGTTACGATAATAATAACCTTGTATTATGTTTTGAACATTTCCGGTTCGTTTAATTAATGCGAATATTCTGTTTGTTCCAGGTAAGTGAAAACACCGACGATTTTTGTTCCTGCGCACGTGATCCGGTAAGCTCTCGAGATCGGCCCATTCGCGAACTGCGAATGGCCGAATTAGCTGGTTTCCTCTTTTTAAAATTCAATCGACAGCAGCTGCACCATGCCCGTTCTTATGGTTTCCGACCGAGGCCGAGACTAAATATAGGGATCATAAAATTTGTGTTAAGCGACCGCTGTAACCGATCAAATTAGCGCTTTAGATGAGCACGCGGGACGTTTCAGTCCATCCTCTTAATCGACTGCGAAAGAGATTATCGGGGCTGGGAAAGGGTCCAAGATACTCGGGACGAGATAAAAATCCTCTGCACGGTGAATTAAATAACGACCGTCGCGGGAACTAAATGTCATTTTCTACAGGTTGTTACATTCAATTTATTAACAAAGCACACAGATGTTACCAGGATTTATTAATTCTCTATTAGATCACTGTGACTTCGAAGTCACATACTGATCCATCAGTTTTTTGATTTTACTTCATTTTTGATCGCAATGCTTAAATTTTACTCCACGCTTCACAGTAAATTCACCTTTCCAAAAATTAAAAAATTCGTCGTTATTTTTATACAACATGTAATAATCAAAGACAAAACTTGTCCTACTTCGTCCTAGGTCTTCATTCTTAATTATTAATTCTGTATAGCTCGCTATAACTTCGAAGTCGCATACTGATTTATGAGTTTTTCTAATTTCCCTTTTAACAACACGAGTTGTTTAAAACACTTCGAAACGATGTTTACCAGCCTGCAATATTTCATTTTTACGAGAAATAAGCTTCGCAGCTAGGATTTATTACTCCGACGACAGCTGCGAAACAATTGCATCTAAGAAACAATCGGAATATTTTATTAAGACTAGCAGAACATCATAGTTAGCGCGACGAGCTATCAGACAAGAAACAAAAGGATTTGTCCGAAGGCTTTCGAGTGTCGCAACCCGTCAAATTTCCGTCTCCCGGCGAGTTCTATTTCCGCGGGAGCAGAGCCAGCTTTCAGTCTAGGCAGAAGTGTTTGTTTCCTTGCGTTTTGCCCGAGTGCGGTAGAAGCACGCGCGTTGAATTCGCAGTCTACGTGTCGGGCTGCGTTCCTGCCGCAGTCGCCGAGTGGTTCTTTCTTTCTTTTCCTCGGCGAGCCGCGGACGTTCCACGGATTGCATTGCAAATGCGTGACGAAGCTCGGGGAGCAACTACGCAACGGGCGGCGCGGTGCAACGCGGTGCAACGCGGTGACACGAGCCGCAAGACCTGCTGCTGCACCGAGATCAAAAGGTGCGTGCAACGGCACACGCCTCTCACTATTGCGAAAGTTGTTCGGCGCAACGGCAATCGCCGGACAAAAACGAAACGCTTCTGTCGAAGCAGATGATTCGCCCGGCGCAGAGACACAACGATCGTATTTTTTTTTCCGGCGATCTATAGCCGCTCGATACAAGAAATTCGTGAATCGAGCTGCACAAATGCGTCGCCCTACAATCGGTCGGCCAAAGACAGTTGCAGTTCGAATCGTAGTGGAGCAAGTCACATTTTCGAAAATTGTTACTTATGCGTTATTTGAATTTTATTCAGCGACGTTCTCATTTGACTTTATTTAGTCAAGTTTTAATTTTATTTTATTAACTGAAGCGTTAATACAATTTTATTAACTGAAGTTTTCAATTGAATTTTATTAGAGCAAGTTTTCATTTAGTTTTATTAACTGAAGTTGCAATTTAATTGCATGAAGGGAAGATTAATTTAATTTTATTAGGGGACGTTTCAATTTAATTTTATTAAGCGAAGTTTCAATTTAACTTTATTAACTGGAGTTTTAATTTAATTTAATTGACTGAGTGTTAATTTAATCTCATTAACTAGGTGTTAATTTAATTTTATTAACTGAAGTTTCAATTCCATTTTATTAAGTAAAATAAATGATAAAAGTATTATAAATTAGCTTAACTCAAACTTATTTTAACAACAAATTTGATCGGTAAACAGTACACTGAACCCCACGCATTCGGAGTCAAAATAGTTTCTCTAACCATTTGCTATAACGTTTTATTTAACATTTTATACACATTTATAGCTCACATGCTACACAATAAAATAAAATAGATAAAATAAAACCGAAAAATGAAATGAAATACAATAAATTAAACTCAGAGGTCACTCCGTATCTCATTTGATTTTATTATATAAGTCACACACACACACAAGTTTTAATTTAATTTTATTAACTGAAGTTTTCAATTGAATTTTATCAGAGCAAGTTTTTATTTAATTTTATTAACTGAGAAGTTGTAATTTAACTTTATTAACTGGAGTTTTAATTTAATTTAATTGACTGAGTGTTAATTTAATCTCATTAACTAGATGTTGATTCAATTTTATTAACTGAGAAGTTGTAATTTAACTTTATTAACTGGAGTTTTAATTTAATTTAATTGACTGAGTGTTAATTTAATCTCATTAACTAGATGTTGATTCAATTTTATTAACTGTAGTTTCAATTTCATTTTATTAAGTAAAATAAATGACAAAATTACTATAAATTAGCTTGACTCAAACTTATTTTAACAACAAATTTGATCGATAAACAGTACACTGAACCCCAGACAGTCGGAGTCAAAATAGTTTCTCTAACCATTTGCTATAACGTTTTATTTAACATTTTATACACATTTATAGCTCACATGCTATACAATAAAATAAAATAGATAAAATAATACAAGAAAATGAAATATATTAAAATAAAATAAAACCGAAAAATGAAATGAAATACAATAAATTGAACTCAAAGGTCACTTCGTCTCGATTTTGTCTTTTCGCAACAACAACAACAACGTTTAGCTAAAACGATCAGTTGGAGGATTCGAAAATTTGTCGATCACAGAAAAAGGTAGCAGCACGAATTGGTAAATGGAGTTCGTGATTAACGCGCTACCCGTTTTCATTTTGCCGGTAGGCCATTGTGGGCCGAGACAGCGCGGCGCGGCGTCGGCATTGTGGCCATAATAATAACAGTGCGCGAAATAATTAAAGTTTCGAGTAATTGTCAGTCGAAGCGCATTCTTTCGTAGCCGCTCCATTGTCCGTTTACGACACTTTCACCCTCGCGGCGGTACCAATCGCAGTCTCTTCCGCCTTCGTCCGTAACGGAGTGCCCCGCGGACGGCTGAAAGTTTCCAGAGCGACGTAAAAGTAAAAACCTCGGCGAGCCAGACGTTGCCAACCGGACAGGTGTATCCTGCGCGAAATCGCGGCGGGACCGTCTCGGAAACAGGTTCGATCGCCCCGTCTAATCGTTCGTCTAATCGATGGCCAAATATTCTTCTGCGATAACTCGCGAATGACGAAAGCTACGATACCTTTAAGATAAGGGAACAATGCGTTCTATTGTTTCCCAATTGAAACAATTTTATCGGAAATACTGCACGTATAGAGTTGGGCGGAAAGTGATCCGATCGAGGATTAACGATTATAACCCGTTAGATATTGTAATAAACTCGTCTAAAAAGAATATTTTAGCCTAATTTAACACTAGATTTACGGGACACAAAAAACAGCTGTTTTATAAAAAAGTGAAAATATAAAAAAAATATAAAAGCAAATAAAAAGTAATAACAATAAAAAGCAATAATAAAAGAAAGTGATAATAAGATATTTATTCTGATTTTTAGCAAGTGTTATTGTAACATCTCTCGTAAGTAACATATAAATTGAATAAATAACACAAATGTATCTTTACGATAAGCCTAATCGTAAATTAAAAAATTAACGACCCGCCATTTTGACGGGTTCTGCAAATCTAGTATTAATGGAATTAATAAATAAAAGTTAATAAATCTTAATTAATAAATAAGAATTATTACTATTAATTAATAATAGTAATAATTTGCAGTAATAGTAATAATTTTTTAATTACATTTGTTGGGATTATTTCCTTATATCTTTATTCCAACAAGTCATATATCAATTAATTGATCAGTATCACTAATAATATAATGTAATAATTTGTAATAACTAACAGGATATAATGAAGCTACAATCCATCGAGAAACCTCTCGAAAAGACATTGAAAAAAACGTAATTTATTTTATTCTTTAAAGAGTAAGCAATTTAATTTTATAAGGAGGAGGAGGAATACATGAAACATAAAATAGGGAACAGATTAAAAGGAAGCAAAAATATCGTTGCATCGATTCCAACTTATTAGGATTATTTAAAAGTATAACAAATTTGCACTTGGCTCCTACGTCTTCAAATCGATACAGACAATTTTGATTTTGCACAAAGATCAGCGCTGCTCTTGCGATAATAAATTCTCCTAAAAATAAGCTGCACTCTAAAACTAAAATCTACTAAAAATCAAGATCCACCTCGAACCAAAAATCGGTCATCGACGAAATCGCGAGTTGCAAACACGGTAGCCAGTCGCCGGCCGACAAACATTCGTTCCCCGCGCCGGTGTCACCGGCATTAGCGGCCAAACAATAGAGATTTAAGAATCCGAGGTGAGTTATTGGTTGTTCGATCGGTCGCGCCGGAGATTCGAGTGTATCGCCGGGGCGTTCACGGCCGATCGGCCCGCACCCTTTTCCCTGGAATTCCGTCCGGAATTCCTGCCACCGGAGAAAGTGAAATGCCATTTTGCGGCACGAGACAAAATAACGCGACGAACGGTGCCGAC